GCAGGACGTGCTTTTCGCTCTCTCTGCCACCCCCCACCCTCGCTTCGATGCTTTTTGCTTTTTCGAGCTCTTTTTTCACCTTCCAGCCGAAACTAAAGGAATTATGATTTGGTCAACTAGACTCTGAATGAAACTGACACTATTTTTTAAAAAAGAAAAAAATTGTGTAGGTCTTCTGGACGGGTTCTTCTCTAATGAAACGTTTTGTCTCTTCTCCAAGAGACTTCCTCAGTCTGAGAGTTTCAGGCAAAATTCGGTATTTTTTTCACTATTTTTTCTACACTTGGAACGAGGGGAACGTGGCTGTCTGGGTGGAATGGTTGCTGCTGGATTTATCTGATTCCTGGGGCTGGAATCTGATATGCCAGCACCACTTCCCATCAAAGACATGGAAGATCTTTATTTAATTGAATTATGATAACTGGTTTCCTGCTGATCGGCGGAGGAGGGTTCCAGATTTATCAAAAAGTGAAAGCGACCCTGACAGTGGATCGGGCCTTTGAAGAGCTGTCGGGCGCACTTGAAGGATTCTGCCGGGTGGTAGCACACAGACTCTCAGCTGGGGGAAAAATTTGCAAACTGGATGTGATTCTGACGAGGATCACAGCTCAGGAGCGACCCTTCGGCATGTATGGACTACATTCTGGGTGAGCTTCAATCAGTGAGAGGCGAGGAATCATCCCAAATTCAGCTGATTGGCTTTTTTTCACCACCTCAGAGTTTGCAGTAAAGACACTTCAAAAGCAGCAGGAATTTAAAGGCTGCTTTGTTCCAAAACAATTGGATTAGCTATCTGGCTCCCAGTGGCACGGCCTGGAGGGCAGTGCTTATCTTAACCTCCCCAGGATGGAATGTCAGCTAGAGCTGGATTCGCTCCCACCCCCCACCACCCGTGTTGGACTCGGCCTTGGAACTCAACTGACTGAGGAAGAGGAAAATCTCTGAACTCTAGCGAACTGAGTAGAGACAATAACATCATGTGACTCTGGACTCTGGGTGCGTCCAGGGTTGGGCCCAGCACGGACCCCCCCTCTCAACGTCACCTACTCCTCTGACCCCGCCCCCCCCATTTTACCTCCCCTTTATGTGTTATCTGACCTAACCC